CTAGCTTTTGTCCTTATACGATAACGCAAACTTGTTCTCAGCTATGGTCAAAAAAGTTTGATTTTTTCAACGGCCGTTTCAAATCTCCAATTTCAGTTTTTTTGAAACTTTGTTAAACAAATTTTAAAATTTTTAGAAGATCTCATGGGAATTTATGGACAATAGATAAGGGAATAAAACGGTAAAAAATTAGATCAATAATTCTTACAGTTTAGCTGTACCTGCGATTTGAACTCGGCGGATTTCGGGAAAATCGCATTTTTTTGTAATATATTAGAGAATACGTATTAATTTTTTACTGTTGTACATTTTAAACAAAGTATTTTCAGAGTATTATAGACCAGATAATATAAAATATATATTCCAAGTTTTATTCAAATCGGACATTCTTAACCCATAAAATGTGGAGTTCAAAGGTTAAATTTTGCTATATTTGGGAATTCTCAGTGCACCATATTAAAATATTATTTATTTGTTTGCCATATTTACCAAAAATTACTGAAATTTATCGTATAAAGTCCGATATTTAAAATAGAGTGAAAAAAAGGTAAATTAACACTTTAAGGCACTTGGGAACAATTTAACACCAAAGTTCAAAAATTTGAAAAAGCACTATCCATTTGAATAAAGCTCTATATAATTAGAGAAATAGCAGAAATATAACAAAAACGTATATATTAAGTATAAAAAATTATACTTTAACCCTTTTCGACTATGGAGTAAACTATAGGTGTACATTTTTAAAAGAAAAATTTTGTTTTTAAAACTGATAATTTATGTAGTCCATTTTTTCGGACCATTTTCGACATAATATGTCCAAAAATACAAACTTTATAGGTTCAAAAAGGGTTAATTCATAAGTTTTTATACCTAATATATATTTTTTTGTTTTATTTATGTTATTCCTCTAATTATATAGAGCATTATTCAAATGGATAGTGTTTTTACGATTTTTTGATCTTCGGGGTTAAATTTTTCCCATGTGTTTTAAAGGGTTAATTTTACTTTTTTTCGCTGCTATTTTAAACATAAGACTTTATACTAAAAATTCAAGTCATCTTTATTAAATATGACCGACAAATACATAATATTTCGATATGGTACACTGAGAATTCCCAAATATAGCAAAATTTGACCTTTGAACTCCACATTTTATGGGTTAAGAATGTCCGAATTGAATAAAACTTGGAATATATATTTTATATTATCTGGTCTATAATACTCTGAAAATACTTTGTTTAAAATGTACAACAGTAAAAAATTAATACGTATTCTCTAATATATTACAAAAAAATGCGATTTTCCCGAAATCCGCCGAGTTCAAATCGCAGGTACAGCTAAACTGTAAGAATTATTGATCTAATTTTTTTACCGTTTTATTCCCTTATCTATTGTCCATAAATCCCCATGAGATCTTCTAAAAATTTTAAAATTTGTTTAACTAAGTTTCAAAAAAACTGAAATTGGAGATTTGAAACGGCCGTTGAAAAATTCAAACTTTTTTAACCATAGCCGAGAACAAGTTTGCGTTATCGTATAAAGACAAAAGCTAACATTCTAGTTATTATAGATATATTTTAAGTAACAAAATGTTTTTTTACAATATTTCCTAAAAAATGTTAATTTTTTTGTCACATTTCGAATTCATGTGCTGTGAGACACGTTAATGGTCTGGGGAATTTGCAATAACTCTGAAAGTTTTCAACCAATATTTATGTTTTATATCTTTCCGAAAAGCTTATTATGTGTACATTGCGATTCCATCACAATACATTGTAAAGTTTATTATTAAGTGGCAAAATTTTAGCAAAAACTGAAAAAAAATCGATTTTTTCCCCTTGTAAATGCACTTGGAAACTTTAGTGCCGTTGCGGCACCTGTTAACGTTATCCTATCAGCCTAATTTTTTGTATGACATAGTTTTACAACCCATAGAACAATTCTAGAGGGGGGACGGGCAAAATTCGCAACTTCGTTTTTTTGGAGCACTCTAATGTACATACATAAATATGTCACTAGTAAGCATATTAGACTATGCTATCAAATCATATGTCGTAAATTTAAAGTGGATTTCAGAAGGGCCACCTATGTATGTATGTACATATGAACTTACCTTGTCATTTTCACTTATAAAATTAAGAAGAAAATATTTAACATCTCATGTTAAAATTGCCTCACTTTGTTTTTCTTCCACAATAAGGATTATGTTGAATACGTGACGTATACGTAATATGAATTTTTGATGCCACAACTTCACCATGAAACGTTAAATATTTTCTATTTATAAATTTCTTACCAATTAAAAAAATCACAAAAAAATCTATTCGTTAATATTTTTAACGAAATTTTACACTTAAATATATAGGGTTTTCCATTAAAAATGTATATTTAACAAGTGAGAGTGTTATATTCGGCTGTGCAGAATCTCATATACCCATATACTTCCCTATAAACATCAGGGTGATGTTTGAAATATAGTTTAAGTCAATTATGGACCAATCTCTATTGAATTAACAATATATTAATTTAATCGCTCTACTCGTATGTATTTTTAATTCACTCATGAGCGTAAAGGTCCGTTCACACCTATCAAATATTTGACGAAAAAAGACGTGACCCCTAAAAAATCCACATATTATTTTCCATTAAATATATTTTTATTTTCACAATCATAATATATCGTTAAAGTTATCACTTTAGAACGTCTTAATAATTTGTTTCCACATTATTTGCTATAACAAAAATCATGTAAGATCAAAAAAACATTTGCAAAAAAATAGTGGTTACGTCTTTTTCGTCAAATATTTGATAGGTGTGAACGTAGCTCAAGAGTAATTGTCTGAAGGGGACCTTATTTGGCTTATATGAAACTTATTTATGTCGAATTTCATCGCTATACTCGCACTTTTAAAACAGTTATACCCGTTAAAGTTGTTTTTCGGGGGTCCACTTGTATGGGGGGTAGGGTCAATTATTTGCCGATCCACATAAAATTTGGTAGAGAGATTTTGACTCGCATATTCGTATTTTTAAGCCAGTAATGAGCGTTAAAGTCATTTTTTGAAGGGGCCTTATATGAGGGGTAGGGTCTATTTTGAACCGATCCACATAAAATTTGTTAGAGAGGTTTTGGCTCGTCAGGGAATTACTTATGTTAAATTTCATTGCTATACTCATATTTTTAATCCAGTAATGAGCGTTAAAGTAATTTTTTTGAAGGGGACCTTATATGAGGGGTAGGGTCAATTATGGACCGTTCCTCATAAAATTTGGTAGGGAGATTTTGGATCATATGAAACTTATTTATGTCGAATTTCTACGCTATATTCGTACTTTTAAAACAGATATGCCCGTTAAAGCTGTTTTTCGCTTCCCCACTTCTATGAGGGCTATCCGAAAACGCGGACCGATATTGCAAAATTTTCAATACCAAACAAACCTTATCTATAAGGAATATTTGTGGAAAATTTCAACCTTCTACCTTTTTCCGTTCGGACTCTATTGTGCTTTTAACAGACAGACGGACAGACATGACTACATAGATCATCTTAGAATATAATGAGGACCCAGAACATATATATACTTTTGTGGGTATATGACCAATATTTCGATGTGTTACAAACGGAATGACAAAATCAATATATTCTTCAATTCCCAAAAAAATGTTTTGAAAAATCCCAAAAATTGTTTAGTTTTTGGCTATAATATCCATACCAGGAGCCAAGATTTTGCACTAAAGTTGAATTTTGCTTATAAATATGAGTTTTTTCGATGAACCTGGTCTCCTCGGTTTATGGACCGAACCGAAAAATATTTTGTAGTGTATAAATAAAACATATTTATATCGAATCTTTATTTCTTAAATATTTATGTACAATTAAATGATTTTCGCAAGTGGACTACATATGGGAGCTATGACCAATTATTGACCGATACAGATCTAGTTTAGTATATGATTTCTATTGACATTTTATTTATATCTGTATAATTTAGTGGTGATGACGATATTTTGGTGGGAGATATTAACGTTAAATTCATTTCCAACTTTTGAATGGGGTCTATGCGAAATTTTGTATCCATTGCTATGATTTTGAATATAATTGATCCCTGGGCGAAAAAAATAATTATATTTGGTAGTTTCTGAGAAAACTACTGTAGAATTAGGAATATAATAATTTTTTGAGAGGTAGTCTAAAAATTGTAACTTTTTACATTGTAAACCGATTTTCATAATTTGAATTTGGGATTTCTCTTGCTTAGTTTTAACGTGCTTTAGGCAGATAGTCAGACGGATATACATACATAGCTACATTGACTTAGAATTTCATAAGGACCCGAAATATAATTGTTGGGTCTCAGATGAATATCTCTAGGTATTACACACACTAGTGGTTGTAAAAGGTATAAAACGTACTTTTTTTTTGTTTTAAATAATTTAGAATATTTTTTTCATTTTTTGAATACCATTTTTCCAGAAGTTACAAATATGTACTAAAATACTAAATAACTTTCAAACAGTTGAATTTCTTAACAAACAATTAAGGCGTATACAATAAATACATACATATTTATAGTGTTAAGAAACAAGTTTTTTTGAGTCAGATAAAATTCGATACAATTCAATATGTTTATGATAAGAAAACGGTAATTCCAGCTAACAATCACATGTGGCTTAAAAGTTGTTTAACTGCTACGTCATTGTTTACCTAGGTAAAGTAAGAGAATTACAATAGGTTCTTGTTTTTGCCAAAATGTTTCACGTTTATTACTTTATATTTCTATTATGAGTTGGAATCATAATTTATTTAATACTTCGGAATCTTATTATAAAAAAAAACATAAATGTGTACTATGTATGTATGTATTTCTTATAGAATAAAAACTTCAAAATTACTCTTACTAATAGTAGCAAATATTCTCATTAATCAAGTTTTTTTGTATTTTCTTTAATATAATTCAAGAGCCGGCGACATTTAGAGTATAAATAAAAAGTTCTAAGGCGAATATAGTTTAGTTTTTTGGAAAAAATCATAAATACAATAAAACATTCTACAATTTAAAAACGTTCAAGAGGATGAAGCTTTTGTGCTTTATAAGTGTTTTAGCTGTGATTTTGGCCTGTGTCTTGGCTGAAGATGAAAAGATTGTTGAAAAATTAGAGGAATCTTCAACTGTTGCTGTAGAACCTTCAACTTTGATTGATGTAGATGCCGGTGTTAAGGCTGATGGAGATGTAGTGCGTCAAACTAGACAATTTCGTACATTTGGTCTTGGTCGTCCCTTTGGAGGTGGATTCTATCGACCAAGACCTTACTATGGTGGCGGTTTCTATAGACCAAGACCTTTCTATGGTGGTGGCTTCTATAGACCTAGACCATATTATGGTGGTGGTTTTTATGGCGGCGGTTTCTATCCCTCTCCCTATTATGGAGGTTTCTATGGTTAATTTAAGTAATACATTGTGATGTTAAGTGGATTAATTTTAAGTATTTTAATTTAATTTTAAGTGAAATAAAAAGACTAAAAATTAAAAATATAAAATTAGAGTCTTGAATGTCTTTAACTAGTGAGTTAAAGGAAAATTTGTTCTATATAGCGGTTTGGATCAATATTTTTTTTTAATATATTATGAATCACTTTATTTGTTCCAATGTGACAACAAAGTGTTATTTTTTTTCTTTAACACAATGAGTATTCAATTAATACATTGATTGTTTCAATCATCGACTTAATTGATTTGTTTATATATTTTCAACTAAGTTGTTTAATTCATTTTGATGTGAAAATGTGCGTGATAAGCCTAAAATAAACGATTAAAGATATTATGAATACGTAGTTAACATTTTATCTTATTAAATATTTAATTTATACAATTAATAAATAAATTAATTAATTTAAAATTTTTGTTTAATTATTGAAATTAATTGTTTTGATTATCTAACTAAGCATCTTACGTCTTTTATTTAGTAATATCCCTCACACTGGTTATTTCAACCTGTTGTCTAAGCTTCATTGCCATTCCCAATCAACATTTCTATAAAATACACATTTCTGTTTAAATCTTGTGGCGTAGGACGCATTAAATAGCTGTATAATAGGAAAACTAAAGAGAAAAAATTCATTAAGTTCTAATTTCAATCTTAAGCATTGAAATGCTAATAGAGGTAGGTGGTGGCGGTGATTGTTAGGTTAGCAAACATGTTGGCATTAACGTGACAAAGAAAGTTAATAAGGGAGGTTAACAATGTCAGTCATGTACCCGGTCCGCCTGCTTTAAAGTACGTTTTCGTCTGTATTTAATATATTGTTGTTTATGTTATTTTTCTTGCAAATTATTTAATTTTGCAGCGCTTTCCATAGCTGCTGGCAGGATATGTCCGTCCCATATAGTATTTTCCTTTTCTGTTCATATTTCGAAAAAAAAAATCCAAAAGAAAACCAAAGAAAAGTTGTATTTATTTGCACGCTTACTTATCTGATATATCCTGTTGTTTTATACATTAGTTCGTTAGTTATTCCCTTCATTCATCTTTGCCTTGTTATAGGATTTTTGCTGGTACCAAAACAGAAAAAAAAGTACAGCGAAAAAAGTCGAGAAAGATGCTTGCTAATTTATATGCGTTTCAAGTTTTAATTACGTGATAAAAATGCAGAAAAAAAGTATAAAATACACAATGAAAAAAAGAGGAGCGCATATAAAAAGTGAACTTTAAAAGGGCGTCATTTGAGATGGATGTTGATGGACAGTATAGTTTCCTTTTCGTTTCTCTCTGTCACACTCACTCATTCATCATTTACTTTCTCTTGCATTGTAGTACACAAAACGTTAGATGCCATTTAGTAAAGAGCGCAAAACTGTACCGTGAGAGTTGTTACTGTGGTCAAGTCGATGAAAATAGGTTTATTCGGTCTAAATTGTTTTCTAATAGTATTAAAATAAATCGTGGGATTTATTATACCCTACACCACTATAGTTTGTAACACCCAAACATATTTATCCTACACTCTTCCTTAAAATATAACAATCGGTTCAGTTATTTTCTGAGCCGATTAAGTAATGTCCGTCTGTCTGTCCGTCTGTGTGTCCATGTAAACCTTGTGCGCACGCTACAGGTCATACTCTTCTTTTGATTCAAGGAAAATGGTTAAAATCGGTGTAGGGTATCATATGGTCGACTTGCTGTCAATAAACTGTTGTATGAAATAAATCAGTTTATAGAGATCAGTCCATAATCGAGGCAAGAGCCCATTAAATAACACTGATGTTAATTTTCTAACTTTTCTATCTGTTTTAATTTAAAATAGATTCTCGGAAATTAATTTAAAATACATGTAATACATCTACATGTAATTATATAACGTGACTTATTTTCGTCCTTATTAATATGAAATTCGTAAGCATTAGGTTGACCTTTTGGAGAAGACCTTTCCATGGGTCTTGGTTAAATTAGGAGTCGAACTGCTTCTTTGATCAAAACATTTATAAAGAATTTATAAAAAAATATTAAAAAATTAGATTTATTTGCCAAAATTCTAAAATTCAAAGGTTTACAAAACGTAATTAGCATGAAAAAATATTAGTAATTTTTTAGTCCAGTTCCTTGTATCCATTTTTTAACCCACTGTAATTATTTCAATTTCTCTATTTTACTTTCCTCATGATTTTTTTATTATTTTGGTTTAAATTAAATAAAAAATAAAAAACTCTATAAAATATGTAAACAACAAATCTGTAACAACATAAAGGCGTTATTATTTTAATAAAAAAAAGTACAAGTAAGCGTTCTATGTTCGGCTCAGCCGAATTTTATATACCCTTCAATATGTGTCTTAAAATAAAAGTGAATACGTATTAATTTTTTATCATACACAAACATCCAACCCTGATTCTACCTTTAACTTTGGCTATAGTAGGGTTCTATAGTTGAAACGAAAAGTCGACTTTTTGCATTTAGTTAAAAGTCGACTTTTAGACTTTTCGACTTTTAGTATTTTATAAATGGTCGACTTTTCGACTTTTTCCGACTTTTCGATTTTTTTCGACTTTTGACTATTTTCGACTATTTTTTTACTTTTTTCAACTATTTAAGAGTTTTGACTTTTTCCCACTTTTTTTTACTTTTTTCTACTATTTCGAGTTTTTTCCGGCTTTTTTCGACTTTTTCCGACTTATTTTGAATTTTTTATGACTTTTCAACTTATCGACTTTTCGACTTTTATTTACAAAGTCGACTTTTCGACTTTTTTCATAGACGATAGTCGAGTTATCGACTTTTTTGGAACAAAATAGTCGACTTCGACTTTTCGACTTTTTCGACAAAAGGACGATTGTTCGATTATTCGAAAGTCGATTTATAGAACCCTAGGCAAAAAATTTATACGCAATACGAACTAAATAAAACAACATATACCATAAGAATGTTTTTGTTTTCATTCTGTATACATCCATGGGCTGTTTCGAAATTTTGTTTATATGGACCGATTTTGGTTATTTGTTGATCATTTTTCGAAAGCATGTCTGATAGAATTATTCAAAATTTGGATCCCGGAGATATCTCAGCACATGTATAGACGGTAATCATTAAATCGACTTTGCTATCTACATATAAAGATTCAGGGTCGCAAAATTATACATATTTTAGAAATTACAAAAGGAATGATAAATTTATATACTTCTCACGAAGCTTGAAGGGTATAGAAATCAAGAAAATATAATACTTCATATTCAACAACATAAATTAAAGCGAATAACTTGGTGGTAAAATAAAAAAAAATCATACAAACGTTTGTATGGTCTTCGTTAAAATAGGATTAAAAAAAATCTAAAGACTGATGATTCATTTTATAAAATGTGGGTTTATATATGAAAGGGTTAATTGGTGTTTTTTACGCTCTCTTTGTATTTAATTAGGGCTTTAGTGAAAGATATGAATGCAAAATAAGAGCAAATATTTGAACAACACTAGTTGAAAGATGTATTAGTTTGTGGAAGGGTTTTCTGAGTGGACCTACAGTAAATTAGCTAAGATATCGTTTAATCCTAATATTATATTATAAAAATCTCTTTATAAGTTTTTTTAATCGCCTAAATGGCTGGATAGATTTTCGTGGAATGATATTAATACTTACACAGATTATTGTCTATTTTAAAACGAAACTGCATAACTACAAACTAGATATAAAAAAGTACTTGAGATGTATTTTTACCTAATTTAGTTTCAAAAGTACATATGTACATAAGGGGAGTTTTGTGTTTTCTCTTAATATATTATCTACAGGACATACATTTGAAATATCAATATATGAAATTATTCAAATGTTATTAAATAACATAAATTTGGAAACTTAAACTTAAAGAGATAAACAAGTATGAAACATAGACGGGCATGAGCGACCACATGATACCCCATACGAGTTAAGGATATACATAAAATGTGATTTATTTTCCATAATAAAGCATTTATGTTAATTATTATTCCTTGGTTCCGTTATATTTTAATCGTTAAAAATTTGTTGAAAAAGGCTTCATTGAGGCGGGGGGCAAATATGGACCGATACACATACAATTTCTTGGATGAATTTATATTTACATATTTAAGCTGAATCGCGATAGAAGTGCTTACAAGTGAATTATAAACATTCAAGTCGTTTTCTAAATGGGGCTCAGGGTCAAAATGAGGCTCAATTATTACGAAAATCGGCCGATTTTTGTCAAGATACTTTATTGGTGTAGGGTATAAAAAGGAAACGTTTCTTAGTTATCTTTTATAGGAAAAACTTTGATTTTTTTAAATAATTAATTAATTTATATTTACAAATCTACATAATAAAAGTAAAAATCTATAATAAAAGTAAATACGACATACTACGATACAACCCGATTGTGAATTGGACAATTATTATAATCTAATAAATTGAAAAAGTTTTTGTTTGGGAATCTAAAATATGTAGATGTATGTTTTTTATGGTGCATCGTATGGACTCATGGGTAAGATATTTACACGTTTCAGAATCGATTTTTTAGCGCATATTTTTGCATATTTTACCCATAAAAGTATATTTTTGCATGATTTGACTTAATACACATATTTTCTAGTATTTAGAGCAATGTTATAGTTTTTTATTCGATAAAGCATTACATTCTAAATCGGGACATATAACCGATAACTTTGGATTTCATGAGACCAATGCATTTTTGTCGTTTAGAAACAATTGGAAGAAATGTATCAAACTTTGTTGTTTGAATTTTTTTGATACCAAATGTGGGTTCATGTTATTTATTGGTTATCTGAACATAAAACAAAATCCTATCAAACTATTTCTTCAAACTATGACATGAATCAACTATCAAAAAGAAATCTTGTTGAATGAATATTGATTACTTAATTACATTTTCAGTCTTTTGAGGTTTTCAATTTTAAAAAGTAATTAAATCTTTTAGTTTTTAGAGCACATTTTAGAGCTTTTTACTTCATATTTTAAGCGCTTAAAACATTTTTTGGTTTCCCCGCTTATAAGTTTTATGTACATATATCCATTTT